TAACCAGAGATTAATTGTTAACACAATAACTCTGTGGGATGATTTTACATAAGAAGTAGCACCTTCTTATATAGGAGAAAAATTTCCCTCTCTTTCATTCCACAATCGATGGACAAAGAGCAAAACCCAACAAACTCCACCTTGCGATTTTGGCCCATCTGACAGCCACTATTAACTTTGATGAAATTTTTCATAGCTTTCGCTATCATGCTCCACCATAAAAGCATATCCACTCGGACTCGCATCCAAGCATTTCTTCGGCCCATGTCGAAATAACCTTGCTGAAATCTATGGTGCAACTTCCACGTTTGGCTTTCCTAGAAGTTCATCAGCCCTCGACACGCTTTTTCCACCACACACCTTGCATCACCGCCAAACCAATGCCCGTGTGTAAACTGTGGACCCGCTAATTTTAACACATCCTCTTTCATGACACTTAGCGACATGCCATAAGGACTCCCCTTTCTCTCTTAGCAAAACGCATCCATTAGGAGAGAGACAAAATTAGCTTCTTCGGTATCTCCACTTACCGACTTGGAGCTTTTTGCCAAACCTGCTCCTCCTTTCGGACAATTTCTTTTCACGTGCCCAGATTGTCCACACGTCCAGCAAATCACAACTTGCTTCTTCCTGGAGTTCCTCTTCTTTCCGTCACCGACGAGCATGACTTGACCTTCAGGTGATTTGTTTCGTCCACCATCTAGCCTTCTCTCTTCCGCAAGTAGTTTACCAGTGACTTCAAAAAATACCATTTTCTCCTTCCCAGGAATTAAGATCGGCTTCATGTGTTCATAAGAAGTTGGAAGAGACCAGATGAGTCTCAACGCCTGATCCTCATCATCAATCTTCACTCCAATGAATTCCAGCTCCGAGATGATCCCATTGAGAACGCTTAAGTGGTCTGAGATGCTTTGACCTTCAGTCATTCGCAGTGTGTGAACTGCTCCTTCAGATACACCCGATTTGAGACGCCTTTAGCCTGATATAACTCCTCAAGCTTGCCCCATAATGCTTTTGTCGTCGAAATTCCATGCACAATAGCAAGAACATTCTTGGCCAGACACAGTCGTATCGCGCTTGCCGCTCTCAAATCCAGTTCCTCCCAATCTTTATCACTCATTCCAGATTTGCTCACACCAGCTTTTTCTTCAGTGCTGCTGGTAGCACTGCCTTTGGGAATTTCCGAGCCCTTCAAAGCTTTGTGTAACCCCGACTGAATCAGCACGTCCTTCACTTGCACTTGCCACAAGCCAAAGTTGATTTTTCCATCGAATTTCTTCACATCAAATCTCGCTAGATTCGATATCTTATTTCCAGACATCTTCGTAAATCAGTGAACACTAACTTCGCAGAAAACCGAGCAACAACCTTGAATAGTACTGATTAGATAAATTCTCAGGGAGGGTAGCGACCTGCCCCCTAAAGAATTACCCTTCTAAGTAAGCTCCTAAGAAAGGCTGGTGGGGTCACAACGGTCCCACTTAAAAAACCAGTCTCCTAGACAGAACTTACTTACACAGTAATTATTCCCTCCACTGCCCAAAAAACTCCTCTGCACACAAGCGCCACCTGTCACTGGCTCCACCGCACAAACAGACCTCTTTAGTATCTTTTATGATGTGGAAGATCAGACAAAACTGCAAGCACAGAGCATACTCAGAATACCAACTAGGCTAACCTCGCTCTTGATACCACTTGTTGGGAATTCCGACCACACCGAAACTCCGCCCAAGATCTACTGAAAATAATAAAACTGGAGAACACAAAGTAACGTGGAAAACCCTCTGTTAACAAAGAGGGAAAAACCACCAGGGCAACAAGGCCCTAGAAAATCCACTATGTAAAAAATTACAATCACATAATTTTTCTACACTCACTTATACCCAAATTACCCCACAAAATTTTCTATCCGTTAACCTTAACTCTCACCCTAAGGAATTTTTAACCAGAGATTAATTGTTAACACAATAACTCTGTGGGATGATTTTACATAAGAAGTAGCACCTTCTTATATAGGAAAAAACTCCTCCCCTCTCTCATCCCATACCGATGTGGACAAAAGAGCAAAAAACCCAACAGCTCGCAGAGAAGAACATGCCAAAAGAATTTTGGGCAGAAGCTGTATATACTACAGTCTATCTACTCAGCAAGTGCCCTACTGAAGTAGTCCAAAATAAAACACCAATAGAATCTTGTAGTGTACGAAAACTGTCAACCCAACATTTACGAGTCTTTGGGAGTATCTGCTACATGCACATCCCAAAAAAAAGGCATAAACAGGAGGAGAAGTCCGAGAAAGGCATATTCCTTGGCTGTAGCTTTCATTCTAAAGGATATAGTATTTACATCCTCAAGACTGGTAAACTAATAATCAGTCGAGATGTCGAGTTCGATGAAAATGCTACGTGGAATTGGGAGGAAGAAAAAGTAGAATATCAAAAAATCATGGTACCTACACAATGGAGGCAGAATATAATACCAGAAGAACATGAAGATGAACCAGAAGGTACACAAACACCTCCAGCTCAACCTTCCAGTCTGAGGATATCATCTTCTTCTAGCGACGAACAGTCATCCCCAGACTCACCACCGAGAAAAGTACGAACAATCAGAGAGATTTATGAGATATGTAATTTTTCCACGGTGGAACCAGAGAGCTTTGAAGCAGCAGTAAAGCCAAAAAAATGGGTAAAATTCATGAAGGAAGAAATCAGGATGATCGATAAGAATAAAACTTAGGAGTTGGTTGATCTACCAAATAACAAGGAAGTCATTGGAGTTAAGTGGGTCTGCAACACAAAGCTTAACCCATATGGCTCAATCCAAAAACATAAAGCACGGCTGGTCGCTAAAGGATACTCACAACTTCTCGGGATTGACTACAACGAGATCTTCACTCTAGTTGCTCAGCTAGACACCATAAGAGCTCTAATTGCACTTTCAACCAAAAAGAAATGGAGAATCTACCAACTCGATGTCAATTCTGCATTCCTCAATGGCTACCTGGAAGAGGAGATCTACGTCGAACAACCTCAAGGGTTCGTGGCAGAAGGACAAGAAAATAATGTCCTAAAACTAAAATGGCGCTTTACAGATTGAAACAAGCCCCACGTGCTTGGTACAGTTGAATTGATGACTACTTCATCAGTCATGGATTCAAAAGAAGAGAAATTGAGCCAACACTCTACATCAAAACCCAAGGTAACGACAAACTCTTCGTTTCTCTTGATGTTGATGATCTTATCTATATGGGGAACAATGTGGAGATGATTAAGAAGCTCAAAGAAGATATGATGAAGACCTTTGAGATGACCGACCTTGGGCTAATGAGTTATTTTCTCGGCATTGTTCGCTAATTATTTTTGCTATCCGCAAGTGTACGACGTATATATAGGTAGTGGCGAGCAAGGTCGTATTCCACTGAGATTGTAGTTAAATTAATTAATTACTAAAAGAATGACAATTAAATATTATCTAGACTAATGAATTTAATGATGATTATGAACTACAAAAATAAACTAAGAACTAATTTACCTAATAAAATAAAAATAAAATAAGATACAGAAGATAGATTCTAGGCTAACTGTTCCTCGGAATTAATTCATGAAACATTTATATTCATACAAACCTTATTTGATTTTACCAATCGTAGAGATAATCGCTAAATTGATTTCAAACCTTTCTCTCGAACAAGTAAATCGTAGATATTAATCTATCTCTTCTCGGTCTCAAGATGAACAACTAACTCTCATAAGTTCCTAGGATTTTCGTTCTCTTGCAAGATCCTA